TTCTGTCAAACTCACTCACAAGCGTTGGCGTACATTCTTCGCTGTTTCCAAGTAATACCAGTATCTTGCCATAGCAGTTAGCGTAGTAGATGTTGTCAATTTGTGTTGGTTCTATATCGGTAATTTGCGAGCAAGGAATCCATTCAAGTTTTACTGAGTGGTATTGGATCACGTCGTCGATTGTAATTGCTGGACTATTAGCCCCCGGAAGCAACGGCATCGTTTGAATAAGAACTTTTCAAGCACTATCACGGAGACGTTAATACTATATTTTCAAAAAATTGATACGCCAAGGCGAGGAAAGTAAAATACTTTATCTTTAATATTGATATGCAAAGTTTTCTAAATAACCTCTGCACGTGACAATGATTTGTATTTGAGAAGCTGCGCCTTTAAACAAAATGGACATCGTGGGCTTAAATTTGCACCGCAAATCGGCTTTGAATTCGTTTTCTCATAATTATACGACATTGTATTATTGCTATTAATATAATTGTTATGCTAATTTAGTTTTGTACTTTTTTATTAGTTCTGTTAAGTTCAAGCAGATGGATTATATATGTAGGAATCCTCAGTTTCGTATATTGAATATAATGCATCTCTTGTTACTCAAGATGTTTATAATTAAACGTATTAAGCAAGCTACTATTTAAGTTTACTGATTTAAACTTTTGAGATTATGCAGATGTCAACATTTTGTGAGTGTCTATTATAAAATAATAAACCATTGTACAACATTATCTGTTCTTAACATTTATTATAATTAGTTGAAATCCTTGCTTCGATGAATTTTGATAACTACCATTTTTTATTTAATATTAATGGAGTGCATACTCATATATTAGTAAAATAGTGGTAAAATTTATTTAATGTCTTTATCACGCGTACGTGCTTTTTACAGATGCATTTGTTCACTGTAAATTTGAATATGTTAACTCACACGTTTAAACAAAGAATGAGTCAAATGAGAATAACATAGTAACATGGCCCGAAAAGAAGATCAGAAAATTTGCAGCAAATTTTCCTGGAAATGGTCACCAGTTTAAGGGGGTTAGTAGTATAAATACTCCGGTAATAGTAAATAGAAAACCAAAGATTGTGGTACGTTATTATATTTATTTAATCAGTGTAGTTTGATCAATCGGTTTTTTTTTTTGTATTTGGGTATTTTGATTGCCGTAATATAATAGAAGACAAAATGTAGTGAAAGTAAAAGGTGACATTAACATTAAAAAATAGTTTAATAAAATCAACATTAGTGGATACTTTGATTAGAGTTTGAATACATACTGTATGTAGTACCAGCTACTTCGATCAAAAAGTTTTGTTTCGTTCAATTCTATTCTGATGATGGCGTCTTTTAGTTTAATGCTTTTGCATATCTTATACTGTACATCCTATTACGCTAACGCATTGAATATACACTTGGAAACCAAAGCTTTTATATTACTACCCGTTATTACTTCGTTGTTACTTACTCTTCGCTATTCATTGTTGCTGTTCACTATTTTAATGTTTACTATTCACTTATTTACTAATTTATTAGTCATTAAACTTCGCAACAACGAGACATCATAATCTCTGCTGGAGGAGTTAAAGGATGTTACGCAACTAATTAACTGTCAGCTATTAGTTACGACACAGTGATTGATAATGTCAGCGGCTGTTAGGTTCGGACAAGTCTACCTGTTGCGGAAAAGCATCTAGCATAACCGGATATAAGGTTAATGTTTTTCGATTTTTAGAATGTCCCTTATTGTTCGATATTCGACAAACGACCTAAACTAGTGTAAAGGTATACGGGAGGGAGATACTTTTCTTTAGCGTACCAAACATCCGCATAAATGTTGTTATTGAAGCAAGTCCGCGACATTATTTGTGTCAAGTTTAATTTTGCAATTAAATGCATACTGGAATTTTTGATAAATGGTAGGAATGAAAAGTAAGAGATGTTTCTGGAAAGGGTAATCGGAGAAAAGAATAAATAATTGGTTTATTGAACTTGGGATACAATAAATGTGAACAGTAAAGCGCGGAATACATGGAAATTGAGCATGGGATATTTTTATTAAAAACTTCATAGGGAAACGCCGATATAAATTCCCAAAGTTCGTTTTTATTTGTATTTTTGTAAGACGCATTTAATGAAGATGTCACAAAATTGTCGTTTCGTAAGCCAAGAATTATTATTGATATTAAAAATTATTTTCGCTCGCATTAAGAAAAAATATATCAATTTAATTTGTATTTTTTTTTTAAAAAAAATAAGCAGCAAGACAATCGTTAAGGTAAAACGCAAGAACGAAAATAATTGTTAATCGACAATAGCATGATGGTGATAATAAGGTTGTTGAAGAAGTACAGCATGTCGGATTTAATTTGGGATAACATGCGATTCCGTTATAACGCTTTTACTTCAATGCTTTCAAACAACCATTTATAATTCGCTATTATTGTTTGCTAGTTAAACTTCAATTCAATAATTACTATTCGCTGTTCGCCACACAAATTCAGTTAATTTAATCAATACTCGCTATTCAAATCTAGTCCATTGATCACTATCCGCTATTCGTGATTCACTATCCAGTATATAATCACTATTTTTATTCGCGATTCACCATCCAGTACACCATTCACTATTTACTTTCACTTCTTCTTTTAGCTTGGAGAAGTGGAGTCGATAGAAGCGTTTGTATTTTAGAGTAAAAATAGTCATTTTTTTTAAATCAACTGCAGACCAAAAGAGAAATATTGGTGAACATTCTAATTACTTAATTTTTAACGTTGATTTATTTAATAGGCTTTGTTACGAGTAAAAATAATTACAAATTTTTTGGCATGTCAATAAAAAAAGCGCTGCCTAAACTTTCAACATTAACATAACTGCCTCGATTGCCTCGTTAAAAAATTTGGAAACGAAAACGAAACGCGAAGAAGAGACATGGATTTATTGACATATTACTATGTTGTAAGCAAGTCAGCACGCTCCTTTTCACACAAACAAAATGAAAAACCATCTGCGGGAACATGCGACGTATACGTGCGGCACGCTTATCAAGCTCCATTGTGGACTTTAAAAGTAACACATAAGATACGTCGTTTGCACACTGTATATATTATTTGTTTGCATTAAAGCTACATAGTCCTAATACATAAAACTGTATGTATTACTTTGTCAATGAGGGTAAAGAAAATTTGTAATGTCTATTATTTAAGACATCGATATTAAGGACACATCTTGTTCTATCTGTACCATAACGTCGATCAACGAAATTATAGTATGCGTCATCATTTACAACATCCGCGCATTGCCACAGTTGATTGTATCTTCGTCATTGAAAAATATTATTTGCTTGTTGGATGTAATACAAAAAGAATGTCAGGCTCCCGCAAGCCACTATCAGTTTCTGATTGAAATGAACTAATCATTAACCAGCTAAATTAGTGCACGACTAGTACCGTATATAGATGTAATCTTGCTCCTGTAAACCTTTGCATATTCGCTTCTAGACTCTTGGTCTGTGTTCTGGCTTAATTATATCGGCGCGTTAAACTGATATTTTTCTTCTTGGCGAGATTGAAGAAATTCAGCTGAAAGAATTTGCATAAAAGTTCTAGGCTGGTTTATTATTCGAAATTTAATCATAGAAACTCCACTTAGCCATAACCATAAAGAATAACTGTGCATCCGAAAAAATGAGTGTTTGATATGCTATACATGATGTAAGCATAGTGAATCTCTCGATTTAATGGAGAAAAGAGTTGAAAGTCGTTATTCACTAACTATAACGTAAGCGCAATTCTTATATCGGTGATAATTACTGCCCGATTTCAAACAAAAGTCTCGATACGAATACATTATTGGGTTAAACGCATTAATGAAACGCACGTGTTTTATTACAGAAATTTTAATTTTTTGAAACTTTAGAGACGGTGTTAATTTATCTAATAAAGCTGTTGCATAAATCATGGAACTGAACGTATTGAGACGAGAAAAAAGGCCTGCTCTAATCAGCAAAAGCCAACTTACGCATATGATTATTAGTTACGATTAATAACGATGTGTTCTTGTTTAATATTGCACACGCTTTATACAAGTTTATTTTAATAACCGGTTTCTTGTATGGTTTTGGTTCAGATTGGCGATTATTATCCAGTCAAAATATTAAAACGCACAAATTTATCAACCCGTACGATAGCTGCCCATAATGCTGTTGTTTGTTACTTGTAGTTTTCAGTCACAAATCACTTTCTTCGCAAGTAGTATTTTAGCGAAAAAACCAAAACAAACAACTGTTTCTCAAAAAATCAAGAATAAAGACTAAAAGAGAAAGGAGGAGAAAGGAGGAGGAAAGGAAAAAAGGGAAAAGTTCGAATTCTAAATTTGGTCCCATTACTGTTCATAACACATACAAAGTGTCGCAATCGAGTCCACTCATGCGCGAGCTTTCGCACAGAATACGCCACATGCACTACAAAGTGCTTTATTTTTTGACTTTTATACAAGTCGTTAGTATTCGCAGAGAAAAAAGATCCCCTATCACGTACACTCATATTCACATTCACATTCGCACTCACACACGCGTGCGCATAAGGAACGACAAGCACACGTCTAGTAATTAATGCTATAAAATGCTTCTTCATTTTTAAGTACTGCTGTCCTGCTCGTGCAACTGTTCGAATTATTGCGCTGCAGACGCAACGCAGATGCACAGATCACCCTGGCCACAAATCCCTTTACACAACGCTGGAGGTGAGTGTTGTTGCGAACATTGATAATGTCCGTAAAGTAAGTTTCTCTGTTTTCCAACAACTAAATTTAACTACTTAATCCACATTAATACTAATTCCGATCCTCTAATCATTATTAAATATCCACAAAAGACACCAGCGAACCACAACCCGTCCCGCACATCCATACAAACATGCGGCTTCGTCAAGTCACCGCCCACAAAAAATAACTACCGCTTACTTTTCAAATTAGGATTTGGGAGGAAAAATCAGGTGATAGCAGGACAACAGACTTCGACATTATACTGTATGTCACTATGAGATCGGGCCACATCTGAAGAACTAAGAAACTGCACCGTGGCTCGCGCGTATTCCTATCCGCAGAAGTCGACATGGCGAATAACTGCATGCTCATGGAAATCAATAACCTAGAGCATATTCTCCCCTCCGATCTGTCTTTACCTCTCTGACACACTCCCCACAATTACAATAACACCGTATTATAAACGAACTCACTACCACGTCTTTCTTGTCCTCCACTACTACTACTACCAACAATGCTGATATCATTGTGGTTAACTAAACTCCTGCAAGTGGGTCGTCAGCAAAACGATAAATTATAAAATTGCGGGAAATGCTTCTGGAAGCTCAACATAACTCTTTGATCTTATGATAATCAAACGAGTATTAATTATATCCCGAGTTGTCCATACATATACAGCCTGTTGACATCGTGTAACGTCATATCACGTGCAAAGCAAAGTCTGCCGCATGACAGGCACAACGTTTAGTATTAGTATTGACTATTACTATTTAACCACTTGAACTGTCTCTGCAAACTAATGCGAGAATTTACTTTTTTGAATAAGTTATTTATAGTTCAGTTAGAAGCATATTTATATTAATATCCCCTTAAAAACCAGCAGTAATCACCGTATGGCTTTCTCTATGGATGAGCAACTTTATCTTGGTTGGTGTTATGAAAATGGAATTGGAGTGGAAAAAGATGAACAAAAGGCAGTTGAAATGTATCAAAAAGCAGCTGATCAAGGAAATGCTCAAGCACAATGTTATCTTGGTGTGTGCTATGACAATGGAACTGGAGTAGAAAAAGATGAACAAAAGGCAGTTGAATTGTATCAAAAAGCAGCTGATCAAGGAAATGCTCAAGCACAATGTTATCTTGGTGTGTGCTATGACAATGGAATTGGAGTAGAAAAAGATGAACAAAAGGCAGTTGAATTGTATCAAAAAGCAGCTGATCAAGGATATGCTGGTGCACAATATAATCTTGGTGTGTGCTATGACTATGGAATTGGAGTAGAAAAAGATGAACGAAAGGCAGTTGAATTGTATCAAAAAGCAGCTGATCAAGGATATGCTGGTGCACAATATAATCTTGGTGTGTGTTACAACAGTGGAATTGGAGTAGAAAAAGATGAACAAAAGGCAGTTGAATTGTATCAAAAAGCAGCTGATCAAGGATATGCTCAAGCACAATATAATCTTGCTTTTTGCTATCAGTATGGCATTGGTGTGAAGCAAGATGATCAAAAAGCAATTGAATTATATGAGAAGGCATCTAACCAAGGATTTAGTGCAGCTCGAGGGCAGATTTACAACATTATTTTCTTCAATAATAAAATATTGAAAGAAAAAAAAATACAAGAAGTGGCAGAATTCTATCAGAAAAAGAATGAGACTAGATAAGCAGTTGCCATGTAATCATTGTGCCGTACAGTATTAGTATAGCTGATTGGAAAAGATTTTGGCTATTAATTTATAGCAAAATGTTAATAGTAATAGACAATTATTATTATGGGCATAAAAACAGTATTTATGCAATCTGAATTAACTTTTATTGTCCTGCCGTCATTATATTTAATGTTTATTTTTTATCTGGCATCGTAATGTGATTTGCTTATTATTATTATTATCTCTTTACTTGGTCCAAATTTATGCAGTACAAAAAAAAATGCAATAAAATTTTTTTTTTGGCAAGAAACGCTTTGCATTCCTTTACACAAACGTGTTTGCAAAATCAGTTTTCAATCTTAATTTAATTCTACAATACTTTTTGAAATTTATAATGATGTCGAGTCAAAATTGCAGAAGCGCAATCAATCATCAATTTCTGGAATTTAGCTAGTTAAACAAGTAAAAGTTTCTGTCTACAGTATTGTTGCGGTCGGTGATTATATGAGTGTTGTTTGGGAGAGCGATTAAATCTATCGCATAAACGTGTCGGGACCTTACTCACCTATATTAAACAATAGTATCGTTTTCAAATAATTAATTATGTCTGCTTTTTGCTTATTCAGCATAATGATAATTTTACAGTGTATGCATTATTTGAGTGAGCCGTTGGGTATTATTCGGGTCAAATAATTAATTATTTTCAAGGATGATAGAGATTAAAGAATAAAGGATTTTTGTTTTAAAAGAGAATTGTTATTATAAGAATTCATGATGATATTTAAAATAAATATTATATTTTCAAGTATTACCAAATTGAGTTAAGAGCGGGAAAATATTGGCAATAAAACTCTTTTTATAACTTTCCAATTAACGTGGTTATTTTTAAACAGAAATATGTTTCCCCGGGTTTGCTGTCGAGTTTATAAAATCCAGTAATCTTTCGACACCCGATTCGTCCGCATATAATTCAATAAGTTTTAAGGATACATTTTGTTTGCCGATAATCACATCATTTGTATCAATAAAAATGATATTATCATATAGACGTAAGCCACGCCACATGTGATATATGAATATGTAGTTTCAAAGACAAAAAATTTTGTTCCTTATTCAGCAATCGAGTTAAAACTGTATACATCACATCTACATAAAACTTTTGTCGATTTTTTTGCTTGTCACAAATCGATCTGACAACCATGCCTCATGATGACTAATTGTCTCGTTATATTTATTATTATTGCCTCCTCGCTCATCGTAACCAATTGATGCGTCGAAAAATTTGAAACAAATAATGACGATAACGAGCATAGCAAAGATTGAACTAAATTTCTGCACAATTATTTTCAGTGCTAAATTTTCAACTCAATCATATCGTACGCGTTTGATTATCAGCTAATTTTTTAATAATGGGCAGTGACGTATTATCGTAGGAGCAATGATCCAAGGTCTGATATTATACACGTAATAAAGAAATATCAAAAACAAAGATTTTATTACGTACAAGTAGACGTTGCATCTACGCTAAGGGTTGTCATGTAAGCCTAATTTACTGTAATTAGAGTTGTTGCCAGCAAAAATGTTATTAAAGCGAGTCCAACGACAGGCACAACATCGAAGAGACAATCAAATTAAGCATATAGCTAAATATTATGATCAGCTAATTAATTGCTCTTTTGACAACAATTTTTTTCGCTAATAAAGTACAATGTAATTAAAGCATTTTTATTCTCGAAAATGTATCAAGTAATAACACGCGTTACCCGTTTACTTTACAAATAATAAGAGAAAACAACAACAATAGTTTTTTATTTCACGATAGACACGTTGAGACATTCTTATAACTAATATTGTGATATTTTTCTGATTAGAAAGTTAAAATAGTAGTTTATGACAAAAAAACTCATCGCATGACATAAATAATATTCTCATACGCGGCCACGCATAAAAACCATCCGTTATCGCTCGTGGATACTCGCCGATATAATAATAAATATTGGTCACGTTACTTACCACTTTAATTCATAGACAAGTGTCCCTGGAGTAATAAAATGTGATAGTGAATAAATTAATATTAATAACAATACATCGACCGACGCACGTGGGCAATGATCCACATATTCTCATATGCTTACCGTTCATAAGCAAATTTTTTAATCTGCTGTCCTATGAAATAAAAACTGTGTGAGCCCATCTCTACGAACAACAAAAAAGTTTCCGACTAGAAAGTTTTTGTTTGCTTATATCGTTCAAAAAATTTCCTTCTTTGAATGTTGGAGGAAGGGCATACCTCACGCACGATATGCAAGTCACCAAGATTGCAAAAGTATAAAGCGAAAGCCTGAACGCGTTAAATTTACTAGTGGTACAATTTGTGAGCTTTGTGCAGACCGAATTACTTTAAACGTTTGAATTTTTGTTATTTGGAAGAGAAGAACAGTTCTTATCTCTCTTCTACAAAAGTAATAGTAATTTCGAAATATGGGCTCAACGCTCACTAACGCTGTTCGTTGTCACCCACTCACCGCATTGAGGCGGCCACACGTTGAGTGGGTATTAATATACCAATTAGAAGATACGGCGAATAGATTATTCGGTCCATAGTAGGTTTGACTTCAACATGAGTTGTCGTAGAGAAGAGAACTTTTATCACGAAAAGGTTTTTTTTTGAACATGTGTCCCTTCTCTTCTCTTCAATGTCATTGTAATTATAGTTTGATATTTTGTGATTCGTGTCGCAAAACTGTAGTACACATGAAAGTACTTATCACGCCTCTCCCCGCACCTTGAAAGTGAAACTGTTGCACGACGTCTTTATTGATGACTCATGTTACGTAGCGGGAATACTTATCTCTCTCAAACCATCAGCTATTAACCAACAAGACCTTTATGGCGGAGAGTGAGCTTAAAATATCTGAAATATCAAGTCTTCTCTTTCTTTAGCAAATTCATCAAAAAGTTCCTTGACCCCCAAACTGACCAGCTGCCCAAGCTCTTCTGTAAATTATGAGATGAAGTACCATGTGTGTATTAGGAGCCCTCAGTGCCAACAAATGCAACTGTATGTAGTGAGGATTTTTAGCACACTAGTGAATTGAGTCAGTGGCCTTCCTAGCAGCTTCATATAAGTTACCACTCACACGAGGCCTCATTGATGTCGAGTTTGATAAAGGAAATATGTAGACGAAGCATGATGCATAATTTTCATATGATATCATTTGTGATGATAATAAATTTCGTAGTAATTGATTTTGTCGTGACGCGCAATTATAATAAGATTTAATGCAACTTAGTTTTCGTTCGTCTCTTTCCTCTGAAGACTTTCGTTCGATTAAAGATTAAATTTTGACTTTACCTAATCGTTTCACTTGTTAATACAAGATTCCATGTCCATATGATTAAGTTTTTCCAAGACTGAATAAATAATCATTGCTTCAAGCCTTTTATTTATCGTGCTGCTTATACTGGAGCAAAAAGTGGGGAGTAAGTCTGACCAAGCGCACAAAACAGTTCAACAAATTAACGTTTTTCGACAGGAAGTTGCCTAAACGATGACAACCGAGCAATCAATACGATATACATAAATTTGCTTTCATCCTTTGGGCTTCGGTGCAGCTTATCGCTATTTCCTAAAGTAACAATGTCTCATAATATTGTATATTCTCGTTGACGAGTCATATCGTCGAACAAGTATTCTCAGATTAGAGTTCCGCATGTCTCAGCAAGAAATTGATACTTCCGACAGGATGTTTATATTAATTCTAACGTAGACAAAATGTCTGATACAAATATTTTTGTAAGAGTTAGGAACCAAGAAAGAAGATGAAATTTATCCATGAAATCAAAACGTAAAGACTGGACAGCAATTTGCAATGTCAATCAGTTAGCTTACGATGAAATTACTCGGAGCAAGCGCAAAAGCTGAGTCTATGGCGTTTTCGCAGTTTATTGTTTACTGTTCTTTAATACTCGCCCACGATGATTGAAAACGATGAACGATGGTCTTGTGTCAACCAGATCGATTGTCCTACGTAAAAGAAAAGATGTCGTTATCCAACGAACGTAATCCCAATTAGACTAGCGAAAAAAAAATTTTGTAATAGTACTTTTTTGCCATCTCGCTCTTTACATAAATCTCTTTCAACGATCCAGCAACAAGGGCAACTCCTAGTGAGAATATGGCGACCGAAGATAATGTTTCTAGCTTGATCTATGACGCAATCAATGTACACAGTTAGGGAATGAAAGCTTAGCCAACTAGAAAAACTCAATCCGAAATACAAACATCTAAGGGAAGTTCACGTTCTACTCTCTCCACTGCTTTTAGATAGGATAAATCTAGTTGTTGAACAACAGTGTTAGCGGTAATTATGGAAAGCGAGCATAAAGGAAAGCTTGACATACGTTCATATGTAGAGTACGATGCGTGCGCCAAGAAAATGAAGCCAATGAAGCAAATAATGCGGCCTATTGTAGTGGTCGAGGACATTTTGGGCGGTAAAAGTTTATCGTTATACTCACAATAGTAATAGTAATAGTAATACGTAATAAAATCGACAATGATCGACATGTGAGATTCCATCTAAATACCCAATCATAGTATAAAGGACATCGCAGTTCAACGAAATTCTTGCACATTGCCTTGGCCATGTTGCGACCCGTTCTGGGATTTGGCCCATTCAACTGGTTTCAAGATTGTCACATAAATTGTGCACTTTATTGGCAAGAGATTATTCCAATGTGACAATCCCGAAATGGGTCAAATCCTAGAACGGGTCATAACAGCCATAATAATAAATAACGGTGAAATGCAATGGTTACAACACGAATAATGATCGCAAAATGATTTAGAAGAACCAATGTTGTATTAACACGCGTGTAAACATGATAGTAAGCTGAAAACTTTTCAGCGATCGAGAAAATAATCTTTATGTGAATATAAAGCTGTCCACCCAAATGAACGCGTTGCAGAATTATGGCGAGCAGTATTTTCAGAACAAAAGAAAAATGGCTTCCAGTCGCAGCAAAACGATACTTACCAAGAAGGAACGTGAATAGCCCAACGTAGAGAACGCGTTAGTCATGTGGATTTAGCTTGCTGACCGAGCAGTACATTGGTTCAAAAGGCATTGGAATTTCGCTCAAAATTGGGTAACCCCCAGACGTCAGTTAAAGGTGATTTACCATTTGTCAGGAGAAGCGATAGCCAGTTTATAGAACTGTAATTGCGAAATATGATTTAGAAGACGTATACAACGCAGACGAAACCGGACTTTATTGGAAACTAGAAACCGAATAAATCTCTCGCCCGTAATTTTGTAACCAGAACAAAAAATCCAAGAACCCATGAGTTACCGTTTACAAATTTAAAAATCCTCGATGCCACATTATTCCCTTATAATCCTGGTCCGCGACTCAGTCCTCGTAAATTGGTTCGAGCAGTAGCGCGGGGCGAACGAGTTGGTAACGAATTAGCACGCAAAGACTTTTTGGAGGAACTGGTCGGATTCGAACCGACGCATGGTCTGACTCCCAACCCTGATATTTTGTGCTGCATCAGTGTTAGAATAGCTCTCGAAACATCTTTTCGAAGCTGGAACGATCGAGAAATGCGACAGAAGAAAAACATCATTTGTTGATAGCGGATAATGATCGTCGCATCAGTTGGAGGAGAATGAAACGTGAAATAATATTAAACTTATTAAACTACAATATCTGCCTCCAAATATTTACTGCATATCTTCAACCTATAGATCGGGGTATAAGTATTTATGGTCTGTGCAACAATTATGGTTATAGCCATCTGAAATTTTTAGACACATTACGGAAAGCTGCTCTGTAGATAGAATCGACGTTTTCAGATGAACTTTCACAACTATAGTGATGCAATCCCTGGCCTAAATATCTTTCATACAATAATAAACTGGATTGCGCGCAAGAAGGCTATTAATCTTCTAGTATATAAGGAACATCAAATTGCCGAGACTATGCTCGACCTAGCAACTTATTCCGTACACAATGCAAACACTAACTCGTTTGTCATGCTTGCAACCGACCAGAGTTCTCATCTGCTTTGTTCTCGTTATCTTCATCTCTAACATTCTCTTCTTCTCTGCTGCCGAACTTGCTCCCGAGTGCCTGCAACGGCGCCGATTGCCTGTTTAAACTTTTTCTCGGCATTAATGTTTCCGGTTAATGCTGATAGATTGCGCGATTTAGCAGACTGAGGATGAAATCTTTTTTGCTGTTAAAAGAAGCATGCAATGTCATATACCTAGGCAACTGTTAATATTAAGGAAAACAGAACAATGATTCTTATTTACCGTCGTAACACTCAGCTAATGCTAGAGAATAGCTTGCTTCGCGATCAAGTATTTCTTGGGCCAAGAAGAACTGTACATATTTGTTTACTGAAAAGCTTTCAGCAAACGTTAGATAACTTCATAAGCCCCAACATGCTATGAACTCAATGATAAATAAATAAGTTTCCGATGTGTCTTTTCTAAACCGATCTTTATTATTAGGTCTGATCGCTCCAAGTTTTCTATATGCAAAGCATTAGTATTCATCATGAGTGATCTCAAAGCCCCTCTCTCAGCTAGCCGCTTACCACTGTTACTTTGGATATAACACTTTAGCCCACGTTAAGATTTTCAGAATTAGAGATATCAATATATTTGGATTATTTTTCACATTCTTTTAGTACAAATTAAATATGGTTTTCACAAAAGACCCGCTTGGATTATGATGATACGGTACGTTTATAGCAGAGATGAAGTTGCAGCCACCCAGATTGACAGATGAGTTGGGCCTATATCAAGAAGGAGAGCGGTAAAGCAAAGAACGTAAAGGTCAACGGACGATAAGGTTCATTACTCGTATATTGAGATGTTGATTCTTACGTAATCGTAATGACTAATACCCCGTATTTTGAGCACGCGAATATTAAACTTCGGTAGCGTCTACCTGCTAAATAGAATTCATTACGAAAGATTACCATCGCATTCAACAGAATTGTTTCAAGTTCAAGTAAAGATCGCTCCCCAATTCTGTCTCGCTTTTCATGCACTTTATAAGAAAATGAAGAATCTCTTACTTTGAACATCGACCACATATTGCATTATAAATTAATAAGGCCTAAACCGCCGTGTTGCTTTCAATAATTCTATTTTCTTCTTATCTTCTTCGAATTTCTTCCTCAACTCGATAAGTTCTATTAAATAACCCATTAGTGTTTAACCACAGCATCGTAACTATTTTCCCCTCCCTCACTCTCAGCACAAAACATTGTATATGTATATACAAGATCCCGAGCCGCAGTCTCAGAAACCTCTTTTACACTTACTATTTCTTTTAGTCTCGCGTAGTTGGAACCTGTAAAAGTCCTGCAACTCTTTCTTTTTAGGCTTTAATTCTCTCGCTTCCTCTTCTCGCATCGCCGAGACGGTAATATTTCCATCGGTATTCGTGTTTCTTTTTCCGTAACGCGTTACTAATATAAATCCATCTTCATCGGGTTTGTTATGCTTGGCTTCTAATTCGCGTCGGCGAGCTAGTTCCGATTCATTGAAAGCTGACATGAAGGAATCGACTTGAGTTTGAAGAAGATGAAGAGGAGAGCGGAGGCTGATTTCGGTTTTGATGTATGCTGCAGACAGTGATTTGCAGTAAAATTGTAATAGATTTAGTAAAGTGCTTATGCGTACAAACGATGCAAATAGTAAAAAGTTTTTGTTTTGTTTTTCTTACATTCAAGTCCTAATGGTGGTACGCTGTCTTCGGTGGTGGCCCATATGCGCTTCTTTGATCTCATATTCAGAGCCTTTTCTAAGGCTTCAGCGTCTTTAAAAATTATATATGCAGATGATCCTGGAGTCAGTAATACGCGTAAATGTGACGAGCGGTCATGGGATTCATTCTGAGAATCTGGTTCGTTTGTATTCTTTTCCTGTTGCTTCCGTTTTTTCTTCTTTTTCGTTGCATTCGTGGTTTCCTTTGCATCTTCATTCGAATTTGAAACCGGATTTGTCTCAGACAAGTTTTCATCCGCAGTCCTAAATACGACTTTGTCAACCGCACCACATTCCTTGAACAATTCTTCTAAATGAGTCTCTGTTGCATCCACTGGAAGATTTGTTACAAACAATGTCTTATCTAATGGAAGCGTCTCTCCTTTTTGATCACTATTCTGATTATGAATGGAATTATCGGTTGAACCTGGTCGAGGTCTAGTCTCATGTTTTTTGAAAAAACAAAAATGGGTCACGTCTTTTGTTTCTATTGACGATTTGTTTGTTGCGACTTTTAGATAAGTAGTTATCGGGAGAATTTTAAACAATGTCCCTGGGAGTTGTGGCAGAACAGGTGATTCCTTGACTGTCGCTGTTGCAGCCTTGGAAGATGATAGCTTTGTCTTGTGCTTTTTTGACTTGGCCATTTTTTATAATAGGGCTGGTTGCGTGATAATTTTCAGAAAAAAATGTGTGCAGTCGACAATCACATTTGCTTATAGTCACACTTTGTAATAGTCACAGTCACAACATCAGGATCACCACATACCGACACAAATTAGTTAGCAAGTAGATGATGAGATAACGCAAATTGACATTTGCGAATTCGATTTCTTATTTTGCAGATACGAGTCTACTTTGTGTATTAAACAATTATTTCTTATCTTTCATTCAAAGTACGTGAATGTCTATATCTCGGACAATTTATTGGCTATACAATCATACTCGGAAAGTTGTCGGTTGATCCAACATCTGGCGATTGCCCCATTACATATTATGCGCATCATATGTTACGCGTTAAATAGACAGATAACGTAATCGAATTATTTTCAAGTGACTATGTTAATTTTTTATTAGATTTTTATTAGCTTTCTGTTGCCCTAAAAAGTTCTAAGATTGGAAAGACTGGGTAATATTTTTTTCCTGGTTTTAATTAACGTATTGCTAGACTTTGTTAGAACAGACCATGACTCTTAGGCATCATCGAAATATCTTTTGCTACGACTTCGACTCCGCCGTCTCTTTCTCCTATCCTCGTGCCGTTTTCGATTTCTACCCCGACTTTCACTTCTACTCCGACTCCGATCCCTATTCCTACTCCGCTCCCTATTCCTACTCCGCTCCCTATTCCGACTCCGACTCCTACTGTGCTGATAGTCTTTATGGGGTCTGCGATCGCGGCTTGGACTAGTACTACGACCTCGCACGTCTCGTTCCTCGCTTAAACTGCGCGATTTTCGAGAAGACCGTCGTCGAAATCGATCCTCATCACTTGGACTGCGTCGAGATGACCGGCGATGGCGGTCATCATCTCTATCTTTGCTTCTACGACGAGCGGATTTGTGGTCAAGCCTCTAGAAATAACAAAAAAAGAACAAAATTATGTCAAATCAATAATCATGATGGGAGGGAAACATCAAGTAAGTACCCGTTTTCCTTTTTCTTCTCGGCGTTCTCGAGCTCGACCATCTTTCGATTTCGTTTTACCCTCTCCTTTAACTTTCTTTCGGCTAATTTCTTCGTTGGTCATCCCATCGTCATCCTGTAAATTATAATATCAAATTCTTTAACATCATACCTTACTGTAAAATCATATACTCAAAGATGTTAAGCGTCGTTTCATACCTGTTCGGTTTCATCCGTTTTCTGCTGTGCCTGGGTCTCACCAACGCCTTCCTGGGCTGACTGCGATACCTTTGATCGTTTTTTACCACTATATGGGAGAGCAATACGCATAAATCTTCCTGAGAATATTACTCATAAACTAAGACAGGTGCCACGACTTACAGCATAGATGCCATCAACTCTGCTTCAGCCGACTTGACTTTGTCAATCTCTTCTTTCTCTGGTCTTATTGGCGTTCCATCTTTTGCATACCAAGTCAGATCTTTGCCTAAATTTTGAGCGGCACAAAATAAGCAAGCAGGCCGGATTTTGCTTACAATTAGAAAGGGGGAAGGGAAAAGAAAATCAGGCCAAACCTTGTTGCCATCTACAACGAATAAAATACATAAACAGTTAGATTTGGGTAAAATCATCCTTATCAAGCGACCAGCAAGAATGAGCTTACCTGCCAACTGGAGCATGCACTGAATGTCCCAAATAATTCTCTCGATACTTGTCTGTCTTTACATCCCTGGTGACGAATTGTTTTAAAATTTGTCCATGATAACAGCAGCAAGTTCAAAGTTGCTTTCTCAATACTTACTCCCCTGTAGAAGCGAAATTACCAAAATTTAGCAAAAGTTCAAAATATACAGGATATACTAATAAACAGCAAGTAGGAAGTAAATCGGTGCCTTCGACGAGATCATCCGCTTGACAAGTTACATACAACTAAATTGATCCTATGAATAGCGTTGGGAAAATTTGTGAGCGACGGAAACAAATGCACTGAATTCAAGAGGCTTTCGTTGAAATCTTACCCTTCCACCTCTTACACCTCCTCGTGGTGGATGGTACATCAAGATCTTTTAGCAGAACAGAGAGAACGAGACAGACGATTGATGAGTTGCTAATGATCCCAAAATTAGGGCGTCAACTGAATATGTGTCATGCACATTGTCTTTAAAGCATGACGTAGTGTAGATCTTGGCCAAAGGAGGAAAGAGCTCGTAATGTCAAAAGACATATACACTACCCATCTCTTTTTAAAATTACTATATGATTGCAATCTTTTTTCACATAATGATAAGTTTGAATTAATAGAAATTGCATGAGTAAAAATAGGCTTTAGTAATGAGAGATGTGGTAAGTCAAGAAAGCTGTACACTTTTGATAACCATACAGAAGCGCTTGCAAAAAAAAAGTACTAATACCGTTGCATCATAAAAAACCTACCAAAATCGCGCAATAGTGATTTTTGCACCGTGTGAGATACACCATGTGACTAACGAATTACCAGAACCAAAATGCCCGGTTATCAACCCTCCAAATTTATAAAAAATATTCGATTCACACCGAAATTAGCTTATAATAGCAAAAATTACCCATAAACAAAATCATTACATAATTTGGCTGTGGGTAAGTACGTAAGTAGTAGAAAGTCTGAGCAAACGTTCGAGCAAAGGAAAGAGTATAATGAGTCATTGCATTAGCCTCTATAATCACTATAATCTTGCTGAAAGACTGTGTTTTTATTCTTCACGTTTGCATTTTTTTTTTGATATTAGATAATTTAAACTTTACAACGTTTGAATAAGGTGCTTGTGAAAATAATTCATAAAATTAATACGCGATTGAGTAGCCAGAGAGGTGGATAATTATTCGAATTTTATTAATATTAATGCCAACGTTTATCCATTAAACTGGTGGCCATTTGCAGGCAAATTGCCTTAATTTTTTTTTCACAATTTTTGTATTTTTAGATAATAGACAATTCCTTATTATTAATTAAAATTGAAGCATACTTTTTGCGAATCTATCAAACCTAATATTATAACCAACAGACGTTTCTGTGTGAGATAATGCATGCTTAAAGGCAAGCCTTTTTTTACTTATTTTTTATTGGTAGGCTCCAAAAAAATACAATTATCTCTTTTATATCATTTTGAATAACACATAATTCTTTGTTCGGATTTTTTCCTCGATCTCTTTACTACATATACATTTCCAGAATACCATGTTCTTCTATCATATTGCTGGTAAACATCTCATATGCTTGTTATGCTCAAACAAGATAACGCACAACGAGAATTTGAATGAAGAAGTTTCACGGCTAGTGCTAAACTGAAACTCAGGTTAACTATTATAAGCATTTTAATTAACTACGCGGCAAACAGACATGCAAATTTCATGCTTACATTTAGGAAATTTTTTCAAGATGGGAATGGGAGGTAAACGGAGTGAATTTTGCACGTATGTGGAAAATCTGAATGGTATTTCTGTTGCATAATGATAATTCAAGTCTTGTCGATTCAGAAAAACTCTAATAAAATCTCGCGTAATGACAGAAAATTGTCAATACGATTTGCAGGCAAAATTTTCTTTAAGGAATAAAATAGAACAGATAAAGCAAAGTCAAATAAAATAACGTTCGATATTTATCTGATAATACTAAGCGACAAAGTAAATAAAATCAAATGTTATCTTTTATCACACAATTTCGTTCGCGTTACAGGTTGTTTCCACATAAATTGTTTCCGCGTTGCATATCATCTCGACATTTAAATAATGATATAAATACAACTACGTCGTTATGAATGGGTAACATAACCTCAGTTTCGTAATGTCAATTATCTTTCACTATTACTATATGTTAGCTAAAGTCTTAAGAGGGCATAATAATAACGTATCCAAAAACGCCTTCGTAACCGGATTTAGGGTTTGATCAAGTCAAAAAATTAACAGATACATGCAAGGCCAAAAAAATAAAAAGTAATTATACTAAAATTTATTAATTACTCAAAAACGTATATGTAGATATACGTGAATATAAACCCTCAACTAAAAAACGTCTGTACTTTTAACAACTTTAATTTCTAAATTAGTAGTGACAATATCAAACTGTCTTATATAGTTAGTCATTATTAGAATATACGAGTTTATCTCCTGATGAGGTTTGCAAATTCTTTAGAATTTTAGATCGTAAAAACGCGAGTTGTGTGTAATTAAACTATAGACTTTGCAGCCCGCTTGTTCAAAACATGTTGAAAAGCATAATACAAGACATTGACGCAAGTCGATAAAATAATATGATTATCGACATCTCCCGGACGCTTTTCGGTCATCGGAGGCTAAATTGATTATAATTGGGCTAATTATGAATGAAAATTGCTAGTGCCGTGTCTGTACATTTTCCTACTTTGGCAGACTCTATAATCTTGTAACGTCAGGGAATAGTTCTTATCGAGTCATCGCTCTTATACATTACGTACTGATTGACATATTCGTTCTGTCGTAATGTGTAATTAGAATACCCTTTCTTTTAAAGTGTTCAAGCCGCTCATTTTGTTTCCATGTTCTACGCGAGTAGAAATATCACGTGTACTGTTATTGTCGGATTAACAACAGCGTGTAACTATAATTTACAATGTGCGTTGACGAAGATCCTTGTCCCACGGAATTTTCTCAAGCTCTTTTGATTTACTGTTACTGGGCGTTCTTAGCGTTTTCCGCATTATTCCGTCGGGCATTCCTGGATTGTGTATGCTGTATCACCATATATTTCCAAATATAATCCAACTTAATTTACAAAACCGGAATTCAAAAAGAAGTACGTTTCTATATTTGTTACCTGCAAATGTTCTAGACGACCAATGTAACAATCACAAAACCCATCTTTTTCATCCACTTTGTGCCTCCGAGCAAAGTAGTAAATACAATAAAATCGCTTTAATCAAAAACGAACAGCGCATTCTTATCGATATAGTGATTGGGTTATCGATTATCGGAAATGTACTCCGATTGCGGTTGGGTTTTTTTTTTCACACTGATAACATGATAGTATTCAATTATTTGTTTTTTGTTCTTACGAGAATGGTCAGATTGATTCATAATGTTATGCTTATATCTACTTACACAACTGCGCAGAAACAATGAGACTATCTACTATGAGAATTATCGCATCTCCTTGTTTTCTTAATTAGGTAATCATGTTATTTCCTGCACTTCTTGCGCGAGTGACCAGTCGAACAAGTTTTGATATCTGATAGTGTTGCGATTGGTTAATCCTATGAACGATCATTGATAAATGACTGCTTTTATCATGTCCTTTCATTAGCTTACAATGACTAGTATTTACTTTTCCTCGCATAATGCCGTACGCTCATTATCAATCAGTATTAGTACCACGCAAATAAGAATTGCTGTGGAACCTGATACTCGGCGAGCAGATGATAAGTGAGAGAATGTGTGACTGTTGTTCCATAGACACACATTTAAAAATAGATGAGACAACCCCATTGTGGTCGATGGTTATGATGTACATGGATTATTGGTCAAACCTTGCTAGAATGTGTTCATTGTTGAATAGAACATTACGAAAAGATGTGTATATCGGGTATGTTTCTTTTTCTATCTATACTGAATGTAATGAAAACTCTTGTATCACTATGCATTTTTTACGAATAAAACATGACAAACCTCCTTGTTATCTGCATTCTTGTTATGTAATATCAATCTGATCTACTAACATAATGTGCAGAAGCGACATATTGTTACACACTATAATACATTGCATAGTATATTATGTAAATAACGGGATCGTCATGAAGTGTGAAAAGAAGAAAGTTTTCATTTTTTCAGAGCTCAATTGAAAAAAAAATTTTTTCTGCGAGATGTACGAATAAATTAAAAGGTATTATTGAGGCTTAATCGATACTATTACTATACATCTCCGATATTATCCTCAATAGGTCAAATGATCAATGTTTGGTTGAAATTGCGCTGTTATTGGTTTGTAACAGCTACACCGTACATGGTAATTTATTACTAATATCGGCTAAGGCTGAATTAGTTTTCTTATTGAAAATTTTATTATTATAACAAAATTTATAATAGCCGTGCTTGTTATGTTTCTTGGTCCTTTTTTTTTGAGTTTCCGTTGGCTTGGCTTTACTCTTGCAACTATTCATTTGTTTACCACTTTTTTTTTTAGTTGGCTTTATTAAAACTTTAATGTTTAAGCATTGTTTCAATAGTATTGTAAGCCAATGTACATATCTATAATATCATTAACTTGTAGGAAAAAAAAAAGTTCTCATGCCACTGCATGTAAAATTTTTTATTTTGCCTCTGACTTAAAAAGTATGTCCGTGTATATTACTAAATTACTGTAAGTATAGATGTTCAAACGCATGTGACTTTAATTAATATGCAGTAATTATTCCTTTTTTGTCATATGATAACTATTAGACAAATATTTTTTCCTTCAAACAATTGAATAATATTATTCAAAAGACGTATTGTTTATTGAGGGGGAAAAGGCTACAAGTTTAAGTATTTTATCAACTTGCACGTAGTAAAGGATTTTACTACAAAACCCATCTACATATAAAAGCTTATTTTAAGACAACTTATAATTAATATTTACTACTTACCATCCGGGTATAAAATTTACAAATGAATTCAATTGCTACTTTGTAAAGAGATTTTTTGGTTTAGAACTTTTTATCTGTTGAATTTGATGGGAAAATTATGTGAATAGAAGAGTAAGACAGAGATCAACTTTGTGAATTAATAATATTCTCTAATACAGCATTCTGCTTTTTAAGGGTATGTTTGTAGTTGTATTTATTTCCAATAATAAATAAATGACGGTCAGAAGCATTGTGTGCAGACTTTTATTGGCCCGAAATAAATATACTTATTAAGTGTAACAACTATAATGTAGTAACACAAACAACGGTGCTCTACTTTAAGACAAGATAATGATATTATTATTTTTGGCGCGTGCTTACTTTTGGTTTGTAGCCGTAGACTAGTTTCCGGCCACACTCATCTACGAAAACAAATTCAATATTTCTGATAGAGAGAGATGGGGGGTAGCGTAAGATAAGCCGAGAACTGGGCGGTTGGTCGAGTGCAGGCTTATCTTTCGTTAACGTTCCACCATGACGTATCATCTTCACTTTTGGCACGGGTGTAACATAAAGACCAATAATTTTAAAACTCATTTTCACAATGAATTAAGGTTCATAACGCAAGCACGTTGGAAACAATGGCCAAAGGTTACACACATCCTATATGTTCATTGTGTTAATATTTGATTATGTATACGCAGTACGCCCGCTCCCCCTACTGTGTATACATTACTATCAAACCGTTCATGACCAGATGTCTGCTCCCCCCCCCCCCCCCCCTCCCCCCTCCTCTCCGCCTCCCCCATCTTTGAGATGGCCCGCAAAAGTTACGGGGCAAAGTAAAAACTTTTTTGCACAAATTCCAAGCAATTGACACAGCCCTTACAGGTTAGATTGAAAAAATTTACGTTTTAGATTTTTAAGAAATTAGTTATAGGCCAACGAGAGAGTGACGCAAAAAGCCTCTGACCATTGGGCATGAACGAATCGGTTACGGGTAAAACTACTTCGGGATGACTTGTACATAACAGATTGTTTACTCTTTGGAGAATTTCTATTAGCCCATTTGTGATATGGGATACCAACCATTATACTACACGTCATCATTAACACATAATTGACGGTAAAACTAGTTAGTATGAACAATCAAACATTTTTCATTAATGGTTCCGACCGACCCAACCCAGTGCACATGGAAAATTTTTATACCAGCCTTTATCGAGTTAAAATAAAAAAGATTTCATTTTACGTTATCAAAAAACGTGATATTGGCTGAAAAAGATAACCAACATGCCCAGCCCATCGCTAGACTTTCTCCATCTGTCTTCGCCATAGTTGATTGTTTGTTTATTTAAAAAGCCACAACCACTGTTTAAGAGATAGAAAACACATACCTTTAATAAATTATATTTACATTACTCTGAGCAGTAGCCGGTTCAATGAATGCTTTTACAATCAAGTATTGTTGGTTATAGTTTATTTGTAGCATCGCCACTTATTACTTAATCCATTATTTATAATAAGACTTGGAAGAATCCATATTGTGCGAAAGCATACCTAGAAACCCGCCAAGAAAAAAACAATTGTAAATCGAACGGTTGTTTACAATTGTGATTCGCAATAAAGTTATCTGTTTATTCTATGTATCTATGTATGTATATATAAAATTCCCTATCTTAACTTATGTCGAATCTAATCTATTGTTGTTATTATTATTGTTGGACAATCGGCAATTACCTAGCTGGTACCCATGCCAAAACATTCCCAACCATATATGGACATACAACAGAACTTAGGGAAAGATAAGAAAAGGACGTTATTTAAAATGGCAAAACCCTCCAATCAAATCTTTTTTAAACCATCGCTCTTAAAAATTGGCGCGCGGGCCGTGAAAAACCGGGGGATCCTCTAAACTAGTAGTCTCTTTCTCCCCCCAATCGCGCGTCACATGTACGTAATTAATCAACAAACGTTATGTTTAATTTCACACCTGAAATTAACGTGCTGAAACGAGCATTCCAACAAGTTCTAATTAACACTATCAAGTGCTCTCTAACCTGCATCGAACACTTGTGCACAGTTTTCGAACCCCAAAATTTTTTGTAATTAAAATACTTATTTACTAAAACCTAATTCGCACCCCTTTATTTTCAAATTTTTTATTTTACAAATATTTCCTACTGCTTTAAGTTAAGAATAGGCTTTCGAATGCAGGGAGAGAACCAGTTAAAGCATTGAATGAAAGTGAGGAAAGCGAGGGAGTAGGAAGAAGACAAACAAGAATTGGGGAGGGGGGGGGATAAGCAATATATAATAACCAAAGTTCAAAGCACAAATTTTTACAAGGAAAAAAAAGTGAATATAAAGAAAGAAAGAAAGATAAACAAGAAATGCAAATATGCACAATATCACACAATGTTCGATGTCGCCAAAAGGTGTCAATTGCAATAAAAAGCGTTCTTTTTTTTTGTTGTTGTGGAGAATAAAAAAACTAACCATTCAATAAAAAAATCTCCCTCGCATTAAACTACCAAAGCATAAACTACGAATCAAAAGCAATTATTAAAAAACTAATACTAATAATAAGTTCTCGGTCGCTTTGTAGCGAACTGAAACTTTCGTGCTACTTATTCATAAAGCGGTTTTGCAAAATTTCTTCACATCATTATTCTTGCAGATTACTAACAACCCCTTCTTTGTTAGGCCATTTTACCTCTGATCCATCCATCTCTTTTCAACACTCCCACATGCTGTTTTTCGCTTTGCTTGCACGTCTCTCTCTCTTCTCGCTTCTCTCTCTTCTCGTATCTCATCATTTCAAAAATGACTAAAATCCACTTCCCTAACATCTTCGACCCTAACAATAACGTCTGCATGACCGACTCCATGAATGGCCTTTCTTACAACATCTCCCGGCATGTATTCGAGTTCACCGTTTGCACTCATTAACACGAATTGCTTCCCGGGCGGAGGCGGTTTTTTGAAGGCAAAGTTGATGAGCGACTCAAAGGTCGTGTTGTCGGTTACGGCAATGTTGTTTTTGTAGACTTTACTTGGCGAGCGAATCGTAACTGAGCGGATTTGTTGGAATGTCGGTGAAGATACTGGAGAATCTATAAAGCGTGTGTGTTGAAGAAGAATATAGTGATGTATCATGGAAGGAATACCACGAGGAAGAATAGCGTCAAGTTTAGCGTTGGAGAATACAAAAAAAAAAAAAAAGACATCAAAAACAGGGTTAGCTCAAAGCTTGTATAGCATTTGCGATTTTCAACTTACACTCAGCATTGGGAAATTCAAAATTATTGAATTCATTCATACCAAACAGACCTGTTATCATGTCAAGCCCAGTGTTGGATAAACGTGGTGGACTTTTGCGTGGAGTGAGCGGCGCAAGAGGTAAATTTGTCGGGGTATGATTGATATTTGTGCCGATTACAAGATTCGTCTTTGGAGCTAGAGTAGGATTGGGTAGAGAGAAAGATACTGATACTGTGAGAGTATGTTCTTGAATGCTTGTGCAAGTTGAATTCACCGTTTACATCACAATTATCCTGATCAACTTTTTCTTACCTCCGTTCGCAGCGTTTCCACCAGTGTTCCTCTTTCCGTGCACTACCAGTTGTACTGCGTTGCCGGTTTCCGTCTGGCTGCACACATGAGTCCAAAATGTCTTGTAACCTTCTTCATCTGCCAGCGAACAGCGCTGATCTGCGTCCCATGATTCGAGTCGATAGTACAACATAGATTTGTCGACATCTCCCCATCTCTTGGGGGGGCGATACTTGGAAAGCGTCTCATAGATCAGTTTCAAGGCATTCGCAGGATCTGCTGCGGTTAGGTCGGGTAAGACGAGTTTTGAAGTAAAGTCGATGCGAGCTGGTGGTGACGACGAGCTGTCGTAACAGACTAGAGTGAGTTGGAGCGAGGATGTTGTATCTAAATCGTGTTGGGGGAGAGGGAAAAAGTTGAGCGTTTGTTAGTCACGTATAATATGCATTGATCGGATCGGAGGTTGTGATTCGAATCATACGCACGATGCATACGATATTTTTCACCAGATGGTGTTGATCAGATTTGTCTAATCCCGTTGATCTCATCTAATCTACTAGACCTAACGCACTAAAGTCTCTCAGATGTAAACTACTACTCCCTCTACTAAATGCCGATGATCTATACAGTTTGCTACACTTTTGGTTAAACTCACTTTCATTCTCGTTCTGTACTTCATCGTCTTTTCCGGTTTTCTTCTTTGGATTCTTTCCTTCAACCGTTTCTAGTTCTTCCAACACGTCTCTCATCATCGGCTCAAATATTTCAGCGTCCCACCCATGACCCATTGCCATATTGTAGCTTTCAATATGTTGGAAATATTGATCTAGCGAATTTGCCTTGATGCTGCCTTGCTTCTTTTTTGTAGCAATATACTCTTCCATGTATTCTTTGGTTACAGGAAAAAAGGACTCTTCGTTTGGATGAATAGATTTCATAACATTGATGTAATTCTTGACTCCGCAGCGTGAAGCACGGGTAGTTAGGGAAACGGAACGTTGTCGACGACGAGGTTTAGATATGTGCAGGTGCTTTCGCGTCGCAGGCATTTTGTAGAAGAGGAAGTAGAATAGTGAAGGAGGGGGGGTTTGGAGAATATTGGTGTAGTGTGATAGTTCTAGCTGGTAGGTTGAATTATGGAATAAGGGGGGGTTCGTAAGTAAAGGTTGCGAGTAATGCTGCAGAGTAAGGTGACGAGTAGTGAAGGTTTAAAGAGTCAGAGGGGTTTTTTATAGTGAAGTTATAGTCATAAACTACCAAGGAATGGGGTAAGTAAGGCGTAATATATAGAGGAATAAAGATTTTAGTAGAGTATATTTTTTTTGATGTAAGTTTATATAGAAGGAAGGAAAGGGGGGTGTGTGGTGGGTTGGAAAAGATGGGATGTAGTAGAATTTGTAGTGTAGTTACTTTTAATTGTTTGGGACAGTTGGGGTTTATCAGTACGAGTGTGTGTATTCCTTACGGCCTTGCTTAATAATTTTTACTCCCACTCGTAGTTCTTGTTACGTACTCCTATAAAAGTAGTAAATAAGGGAAGGGAAAACGACTAATACTACGAGCTTGAGAAAAAAAGGGCGCTGCTTACCTCTCCGCCATTCTAAACAATCGGGATTAATGGACGTCATAGAGTATGACGAAAGCAAAAGTTTAAAATACGAGTATAAAATAGAGTTATTTTTGTGGGATTTAAGAATGCATGAAAAATATGTATTTGCGATTACAGTAAAAAATATGAAATGATAAAAAATAAATGATATTCGAGTATACAATGCACCACTATTACACATTACACTCACACATTACACTCACACATTACACTCACACATTACACTCACACATTACACTCACTATTACATTCACACATTACACTCACATTACATTCACACATTACACTCACTATTACATTCACACTTATATTACACTTACACTTATTACACTCACACTTACTATTACACTTATATTACACTTACACTTATTACACTTACACTCACACTTACTATTACACTTATATTACATTACTATGTGATACTTGTTAATTATTGATTTGCATTCGTTTAATGAATTATTGTGTTTTTGTCAAACTGGAGGACAACAACAATAAGTACATTATAAGATGAATAATACTAATCAATGGACAAATATACAAGTTGTATATTATATAATAGATAACAATATACGATAATACTAGAAGGACATACTCTACTTTTGTTTATTCATACTCTATTTTGTGCACATATGTAGGGGAAATGGCGGGAAAAGTTGGTATGATAAACAATTCAATTTTGTGGTCCGTTATCGTAACCCAATCACAATGGAATTATGTAGAATAAAATAATAATAGTATACCAAATACACAGTCTTCTACTAATAATAATGTTGATGCGTTCTTGCTATTCCGATTTATTTGCCACGGTGTGGTCCCACTTTACTAACAATACGTTAATATTATGACATTCATTACTCATGGTAACCATAAATATGTTGACTTAAGTATAATCATATGTTATTTTTAATATTAATAATAATGATGCTCTTACAATTCATCAATGTTTGGTATTATTAATGCAATTAATACTATTTTAGAAATAGTCTTAGGAGTTTAGTAAAAAGCTATCGTACATGAGTGCCAAATGCACAACACACATAAACTTAGCTGCACGAATAAATTGATCAATGGCGATAACAATAGAGAAAAAAATCTTATTATACTCTGTGTCGATGGAGTGAGAAGAGAATGAGGAGAGTGAGTGAGAGAGAGAGAGAGGAAAAGAGAGAGACAGACGGTGGAAGAGAGAGCGAGTGAGAGTGAAGAGAACGAGTGAGCGAAAAGAGTCTCCATCGCTGATAAAGCTTCAGGTCAGACAGTCCCGCTGTAACATTTAACAACGCCCCCCCCCCCCTCAATCTTTACGTCTGCAGCGATCATGTGAGATTCTGTTATTACAAACAACGTTAACGTAATATATATACCCATATCCATATATGTATAGATAAAGAATCTCGACTTTGCTAAACGAGATGAAAATGGGCTGTTGCACTTGTCTCAAGAATGGAAAACAGCAAGCTTTCCCGTAACCCAGTTGAAACCTTCGAGGCATTGGCACATAGCTTTCTGTTCGATCGATCTCGGGAACGCGAGTTGAAACAATTTCACAACTTTTTGCATCCGAGTTTTTCGCCGTATTCTTTATTTGGTTTACCCCGCATTTGAATACCAACACACTTTGCAATCTTGCTCATTCCATCTAATTTTTCTATCTGTAATATACTCTTGTATTGCCCCTTCAATTCTTCGTATGTGCTGTAAAGCGCTCATTATTCGCCTCGTCTAGGTCAACAATTAAAGACGTTATACATATTTTAGGTAAATTCAAAGGAAGGACAAGAGATTTAATGTAGGGATACGAATGACGAATTCTTGTGTTCCTCTCTCATCCTTGACACCCTTGTTTAATTAAATTCAGAAACACAACTTATTAATTTCCGTTTTAATAATTTTCAGTAATCATTTTTTTTCTTTCATCCCTTATTCGAAAAACATATTTTTAAGTTACACTCGAAATGTAGGTTAACAGCCGAACCCCTCCCCTCCCCCCAATTTTTAAGGTTTATGTTATAATTTTGGTGCTGCGAATGACATGCTGTACACCTTCAATCTAATTATCTCAGCGTGATGGAAGTAGTCTCGTAACCTAAAACGAATTTGTGCAATAATTATGTGACATAAACATGCAAGTCAAGTGAATGTCTGACATCAGGTGTTAGGGTAGGATTGTTGTCCTTTCAAAAGACGAGCGCGAATTAGTCATGTGGGCTTGATTTCAATTCTTTGCCAGCTTTTCAAAAACTTGGCTACATCCTCATTTTCTCGAATCACAGTTACAATTTTGCCAACATCATCGTGCAGCAGAACAATTTATTAGACACGATAATAATAACTTTTCATATAACTGATGAAATTCAACTTTACGGCTCATGCACAGATTCACATACTATATTTTTAGTCTCATGTGACAACAGAATGCAACTAACGTTGCGTATAAAAGCAGGACGAATTCATGTTCATAACAAAACATGCAGCACGTTTTCAAACAATGTACACAAGGAGACGGTAACTAATCAAATTGTCGCCTGCACTATCCAAAAAAAGCTTCTGTCCAATATAGTTTGTTATAATTCTCTTCTGACAACACTCTGCGTGCAGACAAGAATGCTTTGCAGCTCACATGCGACTTTGACTATTGGTAGTAGTAGTAGCATTATTTTTATTCTGACCGCCCGCCAATCATTAGGAGATTTCCCTATTATTCGTCTTCATATCAAGAACACAATTAATTGTTTGCGTATTGCTTCTATTTTACGCGGGCTGACATAATAAATCTTACTTGTTGATCTGAATGGAGTACGTGAACGCCCAATAATAATTGTCAACGTTACAATATTGAGCTTTACCTCTCGTCATAAAATGCTCATTTTCTCGAATTCAGTCTTGACCAGATGATTATATTTCCAGTATATGTTTCGCCTCTTATACTGTACGCCATTTCGAAAATGTTGTCACGTCACGTGTCACATAAATATCCGTAATTTGAATATAAGGCGTTAATCGATGCCACAACTTGCGAATGCATAATATTTTAACAATTTTAACATGCTATCGCTTTCCACACCTGCGATAGACCGCTATAACATGTTTCAAAATACAATAGATTGAGTAATTCGATCGCCGTTTTACCAGTATTTGGCACATGTTGTGTCCGAGTTCGGGTCTGTTTCAGTTCAGAACCCAGTCACTCAGTCCAGAACCCAGTTGTTTCAGTTCACTCAGTCCAGCATTGGTATTGTCACTAGCTAAATGAGAAATTTATACCTATACAAACCGTGATTTATCTTACCTTATATCTATTTACTTATATAACATGATTTGGTTATTCTCTGCTATTACTATGCAATCTGCTATCAACCATTCGAAATGCAGGGAATTAATAAACACTTGACTTTACTGTGTACATAGATTTTCAGTCGCAGTCTGTTTCACTCGTGTCAGTACTCGCCAATCTAACTTTGTCAATCCGATGCACTCATTCGTTAACGTTAAATTTTCCTTGAGATTCAAAATTACGCGCTCCAAAACGGCCTTAATGCAGGTAAAGTGTTTGTCGATGCGCATTTACAGTGTCACTTAACTTGCTATCTTAACTGTAATGTAATGTGCTTGTGGTCATATTTTGCCCATAATGCTTATTTGTCTTGCAATCGCCCGGAGTTTTCCATTGACAATTTGCCGCATTTTTTAAGGTTTCAGTTACTCGCACGCATCACAACAACAGCACCATGGCGGACGAAAAAGCCTTGTTCAGAATGTTCCAAAGCGGAATAAAATTTTCATAAAAGGTTATTGAATTCGAGGAAGCAATCAAAAATAAGGTACCCTATCAGCTCAAAGAGTATGATGCAACCAAGCTCACAATAAAAGCCATAAACAAGGATGGGTAACAAGCTCAACATAAATATTTGGGATCAAAAAGTCGGTTCAGTTCGAAAATGCTTTGCTGAAAATGTTAAGCTGTTTGTTTATGTCTCATTTGGTATAAGTAGTGTAGTGGTGAGTCTTAAATTTAATCAACGCAAGTAAATCTGATAACTATCTTTCCTTCTCGCTTGCGCGGTGTCTTTTTACGTTGCTTTTTTTGTTTCTTTTTACCTCATATTTATTATATAAACCACACGTAACAAACGCGTAGAAATAGATAATAATGAAGAACTAAATAAATTTTGGAGAGCTTTAAAGAATACATCTTGTGATAAATTTCTCGAATTATCTGATTTTTGGGGGAAAAATGTGGATCCTCCCAGAAGAAAGTTTGTTAACTTCTTTTTCAATTTCGGCCCATTCTTGGGGAGAAAAATCTTCTTTTTTACAATTTTCTTTGCTGAACTCTATTCACTATCATGATCTGCAAAGTGTGTATAATGGGAAATCCGGGTATTAGAAAACTTTTTCGAATATTAACTACTTTATTACTTGGCACACAAAAAATGTAATAATGACCGTTATGAAACTAATCTGGTTGACTTTGGCAGAAGCAAAGCCTTCGTTAGGGACAGCGATGGTATAAAAAGATACCCGAGAGAACAAACTGTTTGGTATATTGTAGCTGCCAAAAAATGTTAACGCCAAAACAATTTTAACCTCTTCACTAAAGAGGAAAACTATTGGGACTTTGATAAGTATGAAAGAGTAGTTACTGCACGATTGCAAGATTTTCATTACGACAATTATGATACTTTAAAATTATATGCCACGTGGAACGTTGCTCTATAATAAAAAGTAGATCGGAAATTGACTGTAGAGCTAACGACGAAACTCACAAAAAAACTTGATGACGCAATTCATAATTACGGGATGGATATGTTTGATTATATCGGCCAAATTTATTTTAGGCCCGGTTTAAATCAAGAATTCGGTTAAAATTAAAACCAAAACCGGCTCAACACGAATAAACCGAATTTTTTTTTAGACCCGGTTTAATTCAGATTTAATTCCAACCGGATTTGGCCCGGATATATTCGGTTGCAAAATTTCGAGAGACGATGATTTAAGTCAACTACATCGAAGTGGCATAACTCTCTATACGAAACAATTACTTTAAATTATGTGCGGGACAGGTTGACTTTTCAACTTGAGACACATATAAGATTAAACAAATCGGCGTGTCCAGGACAGTCAATTAGATAATAATTTTTTTTTTTCGATTTCAAATAAAATATGCAGTAAGGCGGGCACAGGGAATTTACTCTTGGGTAACTCATTGACTGTATTATTCACAGGACATTGCTGAATGGAGAAAGATTTGATGTTCGCCTTAGAAAAATATCAAAGCAAAGATATCGAAAATATTTACGCACAAGTCAATTTATTTGAAGATTAAGCCGTGAAGAATGTATTTGAGAATTACGAGATTACTTTGTGATATATTAATATTAACATTAAAGGTTTGTAGACCGGAGGAGAAATATTACGTATTTATGGCTATAGCAAATATCCAATTCACTGCCGAGATAGCAAGAAATTACCCCTGGTAATCAGGCTAAACAGATATTATACGTGTATATTAATATACATTTTTACATAACTATAATTAGTAAGCATTTTTTGTTGCCATTTTGCATGAAAACATTATCTTATAAATTTACTACTACATATATGGGCATTTTTTTACTTCGTCCGATAAAGTTTATAGTTTGTCATTCGAATGGCACGTCTTTGCATAATTCTTCCTGGTTACTAATATTACTAACCCTTATCAGAATGTTCGTTCTATGTTTACACATTCTTGGGTCCCGACACGGTACTCAGACTCTATTACCAGAATTTGTTTACATGTATTTTCAAGCATATATTAATAACGTATTTGTCTACAAAGCAAACTTTTAGTTTCTGCCGAATGTAACTAAAGGGATTACTTCTTGATTGATGAGTACTGCACGGTTTTGCGCAAATCTCGGATGACTTTAGCATTATAAAAAAATATTTCTTGTACGTGCATACCAAATTATATATTCCATATATCGATGAAGTTCTGCCCACATCGGGCCTTTTTTTTTTAGCATGTAATTATACGTACGTGTTAATAAGGCAGATTTTTTGTCGGTTAACGGGGTGGGAAAGAAAAATATTCAGAGAATAAAATGACTCGAGCCACCAGTACTAATAGCACAATTTTTGCCATAAGTTGGCTTCCCATGTTATTTAATTTTGAAATGCCCTTGTTTGATTATCTAGCAACTTTCGAACAGTTTGTTCGAACAATTTTCTTAGCTGATATCTTGTGCGAATTTAATCCATCTCTATCGTTAAAATAACTAACGCATTTGATACGCCGATATTATAAATGGCACATCCTGCGAATTTTTAACAAACTGCGCGCGTTAATAATAGCACGTCATGTTAGATCGACAAAACATGGGCATAACACGCATAGTCAATACCTTCTTCCCGACATGCTAGTCCATTTGTTGATTGTACTTCCAACTGTCACCTGCAGCCAATCAAACTTAAAATACACATCTATTAGATATGGTTGATTGTACTTCCAACTGTCACATGAAGCCAATCAAATCTGAAATGCACATCTATTAGATTAAACATACATCACAACACACCACTTACACTGCTTACTTGCTTCTTTCAGTGAGATCTGCCTCCTGTCTCTACATTCTTACTCAACATTTTTCGCACTAATAAGAGGCACAATGTCTGCTAATCAGTGTCCGCACTATGCTATATTTTTTGGGTTTTCTGGGGTTGCAGCGGCGGTATGTGTGCTATGAGTGTTATGTCGAACGTGGGTGGAGAGTGGCAAACAGAAAATCTCAGACTAACATGAACAATTGCCTGGCGTACGTGCAACATCAAAGATGATTTTCAGCTGTAAGTATATACATGAAGAATTTTCACAAGCATAGATCTTGTATATCTGATAAATTTTTTCTTGCATAGCCATCGGTGCCGCATATGGTACAGCGAAAGCTGGGATAGGCATTGCTGGAATGGGAACATTTAAACCCGAGCTTATCATGAAGGTATCTGTAATTTATTTCGCAGTGGAAGCATACCAATAGGAAAGAGTAGCGCACATGAATAGGAATTATATCAATAGACATGCGATAATTGACGATTTGCCGTCCCTTTGTTTCCTAGTCACTTATACCAGTCGTGATGGCTGGTATTATTGCCGTATACGGATTGGTAATATCTGTATTAATAGCTGGAGCATGTAAGTACATAGAGTCTAAGAAGCACAAAATGTTTATCTTTAGAATGCAACTATAACTAAGATTCCGTAAATAGTATCTCCACACGATCCCTATTCGCTCTTTGCGTAAGTATTATTCCGCCGAAAAGAGGGACGAGTTACAGTCTATCATTCGTCAATTCAATGCTAAATGTTGAACTTCACATTCCAGAGGATTTGTTCACCTGGGTGCGGGTCTTGCGGTAGGATTATCTGGCATGGCTGCCGGGTATACAATTGGTATTGTCGGAGATGCTGTAAGTAGTATATGCACATCCATTTTGCGTTGGCTTGATCCCCCATTAGTCTTTGTCATTAACAAACTGCATTTTCATATCAAGTGTGTCAGAGGCTATGCACAACAACCGCGTCTGTTTGTAACAATGGTCTTGATACTCATCTTTGCTGAAGTCTTGGGTTTATATGGATTGATAGTCGCACTAATTTTAAATACAAAAGCCGAAAGCGACTGCTCTGAATGAGCCAAACAGAATGTACTCTTATATCACGTGAATGTTGTGTAAATTATGAAATTTTAGCTACACATATTACATGCTTGTATTTAGTCTTCGTCCATATCTTCACCCTGGACACTCTTCTGCCATTCTTCTAGGTTGATTCTGCTTTTCTTTTTTGGTCTTCCGCTTTCAGTCTCTCCTACATACTCTCGTCTTACTTTCTCTCTTAATTCTTCCACGTTCTTATCCTCCTCAGCGTAATTTAAAACAAGATGCCTCCCCAACAAATGTGTATGACATAGCTGTTCCATTACATTACGGGCATCGCGCTTGGTCAAAAACTCGATGAATGCAAAACCACGCGACGTCCCATCAAACTTCTTGGGAATGCGGAGTGATTTTATCTGACCGTATGCACTGTGAGAGTATTACCAAGTTTAATAGAGAATACAATCACCGCTGCGCTGGACAAATGAAGTCTCGACTCTCGTCCAAACTTACCCAAATAATTCCCTTAGATCTTTCTTGGTAGTTTCAAAGGCAACATTCTTAACAATAATCTTGGTCGACACTGCCTTTGCCTTTGCTGCTGCATCTTCTTCACGTCTTTGCTGAGCAGGGTCTACGCCCTTGCTAGAAAACTTCAACTGAAGCGCATGACCATCAAGCACAAAACCCTAGTTATACAATATGAGAACGAGTTAACCATCCATTCACGCGTCATTATCACAGAGTCAAGAAATATGACTGACCTGCAGAGCTTTCATGGCATTCTTTGCGTTTTTCACAGAATCATACTCGACAAACCCAAAGCCCATGCTCAAATACTTTTCCGGATTTTTCGGATCTTTTTTCATCTTAATCCTCACGCTTTTCAAACCTTGTGCATTCTTAAATACTTCTCTTAGCTCGTCTTCAGTAGTATTAAAATTCAAATTCTTTACAAATAGTGTAGCTACTGCCTCTGCTTCTAAATCCTCTTTATCATCTCCCAAGTTTGGCTCAGCAATATCGCTGGCAGAAACAGGTTGTGTGGCCTCTGGTGTAGTAAGGAAAACGTTGACCGGTGCTTTCTCTAGATACAAGGGTAAATTTTTAAATTTTTGATACGCTAGACTCGTGAATGCTGATCTGGCTTCGGTAGGATGTAGGAATTCGATTATTGCAATGGTTTTAGCAGGTGGAAGAAGAACCTATATGACAGAGACAGTAGACGTAAGATCATACGAACAGAAAAAGGCATCTTGTAGTCGACGACATTATTCTATGACTCACCCGTCCAAGATCTCCATACCACCCAAATAACTCTTTTAATTCGTCTTCTGTAGTGTTGAAAGAGATATTCTTTACGAGAATAACAGTATCGCTTCTTTCCTTGTTTGCAAAAGCGTCTAGTGATACCCCATTCTATAACAAATATAATGAAATCGTGTTTAGAAACAAAGACAAACAATGCAATCGCTAATATTATACATGTTCGGATTGTATACTCACTTCTTTCAAAAATGTTTTGGTCTCTTGTATCACGTGAGTCTCTGCCAACGCCAATCTAGCAGCCATGTTATCAACTTCGGGATTAAGAATATCTGATTTCTTAACGTTCAGCCTATGTGCAATTGACTCTGCCACTGCATCTGGCTGTTGAGTTAAAATTAACAAACAATTATGCATATAAATACAGTTCTGTTCCGATTAAAACCATCTGCGACTCTTATACCCACATTCATATATAAAGAGCTCCAGTTGAAATCTTTGCCAGCCATTTCCTTTTGTTTCATTTCTTTCTTTTGCTTGTGTGTCATATGCGCATATTCATCCTTTTTATTCGGTTTCTCCCGTGACGGAATTATATGTAATAAGCGTCCCATGAAGAATTTATTATCTAGCTCAATGTATGCCTTTACAGCGTGTTCGGGAATATGATAAAGTATATACGCGAACCCTTTAGGTTTCTTCGAATTGCGGTCAATCGGCATGTGAACCTGAAAAGTGATGCCCAAATAGTGAGAGACGAGTGGGTGTGAAAAGAATAATTCAATAACGTTCATTGATCAGTTGTCCTATTACCTCTGCAAGTGGACCAAATTTATTAAAAGTGTTGCGGAGATCAGATTCGGTGCAGACGTATGGGAGGTTACGAATAAACAGTCGGCCAGTTTCCGCTATCGTTTCTTCAGCGGGCACATTTTGTTCGGTTTGAACTGTCATTTCGTTTGAAGTTGTCGCCTTGCTGCTATTTTCTATAATTTCCTGAGATCTGTCATTTTTTGCCATATTCGCTCTTGCATCTGCATTAACGATATCATTATCGACTCGTTCTGAAGAGTCAGAATATCCATCTGCTTGATCACTGGCCGAACTATGATTTGATCCATTCTCTGAGAGAACAGAGGCTCCTTCGCTTGAGCTTTCCGAAACATCCTTCATTTACAGCATAACTTAAGTAAATAGGGAATCCTCGTTGACACAAACGAGCGGCCGAGAAATACTTACGTCACCCTCCTTTTCATCCAAATCAAGTTTCCTTCGCATCTTTGATTTGAGCCAATCCATATCAGACAAAGACAAGTCCTTATTTGTTTCACCGCTATCCATGATGTCATTGTTCGAATGCTCGTCATCGTCTTGTTCCTGCTCTACGTTGTCGTTAACATCCTCAGGGATCTTCCTTTTTGCCCTCGGAGCATGATTACTTTTATTCTTGGGCAAATCTTCGTATAACTCATCTTCCTTACCAACTTTTACAACCATATCCTCTGCACCAGTCAATGTCATCGAGTCATCATTAGCCCATACTTTAGATGTAGATCGCGGCTGCATGACTTCAAGATATTCTTTGAGTTTTTTATCCTCTGTGACTGAAACTTTATCACTTTTACTATTTCCTCCATGCTGTTTGGTCGTTTCACTTTTTACAGGCTGCGTATTTTCCGTTACATGTCTTCTTTTATAAGCGGATGATCCAACGCTGTGGGCGCTCCATGGACGAGGCAATGACTGATCGTCTACCTGGAAACCATATTAAGATAAATATGATTATATCTACGAAACAATAGTTGATTACAAACTTACAGGTATTGCAAATTGAACTATAATTTTAGAGGTGTACACGTAAGTATTGTTGAAGTATTTTAACGCGTCTTTGGCCTGTTGTTCTGTACGATATCCGATAAATCCGAAACGACGAGACTTGCCATCACTAGATGGGAGCGGGCGATCGCGGTAGGTGGCAGAAACAGACAGTATGCATTTGTAAATTATAAAATAAGTTATCTTTGTTACAAAAATGCTATAATGATTTTATACATCTGACAATACATGTAACCAACTCATCCTCACTGATCCCGAAATGCGTACCCATTAATGTACATGGACAATCAGCAGGTATTAGAACCTATTTTATTGGATTTGACTCTTGATATATGTCTTACTAGTATACACCTCACCCCGCCTATTACATTATAATATAGTAGACTAATTAGTTCAATTACAACTATTTGGCGAGGTTGTGTTACGAAGACGAGCCCTAGCAAGACGCTATCAAAAGCGGGGTGACACCTCTATCAGTAGAAACACAGTCCCCAAATCCTTCCCGATAACTTACGGAGTGCGAATTATCTTGGCGTCGGTAATCTCGCCTTTCGCAGCAAAGTGTTCGCGAAACTTTGCATCGGTAAGGTCATTTGGGAGACCCTTCACTATAAGTCGAGACCTAAACAGTAATTTCTCGGGAATGAGTTATGCACATTCGGTTCTTGTTGCGACAGAAATCATTCGACGTACATAGTTTGCTATTATTGCGGGTGATTTGCAGTTTAAACAAGTTTTCGATAGAAAAAAAAGAATTTTTGGATTTCACGTGCAATCCAACCAATCAGAATACTTTATCGGCATTCTTCCACGAAGTGATTTCTGAAGTTTTTGTACTTAACTATCGCGAGGAACTTTTATTCACGAGGTGCTCGCTAAAGCCCAGTTTAAGCTGTTTTTATCTTTTACATGGTAAATTAAGAATAAAAGCCCAGAGAAGGCGGATTGCTATGAAGGGGGGGGGGTATATCTATCTATTACTATTACTATTAGTCGCCGAACATTTCACGGGACTTGCAATCCACTAATGAGTCAGTGATGGCGAAAAAAAAGGGCAGTCACATGATTAAGACTGCAGTATGATTGGGTCGTGTGC